ACAATATTGTAACACAGGCTAAAACGTTCATGTCTGTCTTCACTGTATGAATATTTAACATATTTAATTGATTTCGATTAAATTTGGCATTTGGTTCTACAGTGGAAATAAGGCAAAGGGAATTTTTCCTGCGTTTAATTAAGCATCAAATGAAGACGTGTGGAGAGGATATTCTGCTCTGCACATTATTAACTTCGGCATTAGATGGAGATATATGGTCAGCTGCACACGCCGGCCGCCTTAATCCTGGGGAACGAGAGCGGGAACCGTTGGAAAGGAAGATTTGGTGGACCCCAGAGACGGTCTGGACGCTGTGGTGTGGAGAGAAATGTCTGCACCTACCGGAAGTCGAACCTCTGTCGTCCATCCCGTAGTTTGTCTCTACTGAGTGAGCTCTCTCGGATGTTACCCTGAATGTTATCTTTCAAGTTAATCTCAGTTCAACAATACTTCGCACGAAGCGCAACTTACACTCCATTAAGCTCCTCAACAACGGATCGTCAAACAAAAGAAAGAGATGTCATAAAACACAGATCCTTTAAGACACATAAATATTATTTGAAACTCTTTTCAAGTGCAGAGATACTGGGTTTTCGGACTTTGTCCATCGTCCGGATTCTAAATAACTAAGAAAAAACACAAGGTTTCGAAACTGGATCTGTTTCCGTCCTCAGGTGAGGGAAGACACCTACTCTGTCGGGTCCCTTAGAAAGCGCTAGCCTCAATCACAGGACGATGGATAAAGTCCGGAAACCCAGTATCTCTGCGTCAGAATGCTATAGTATCTACTTCTTTTCAAGAGGTTTATATTGAAGTAAAGACAAAGGGTTCCGCAGGCTTAGAGTCTATTATTTTTTGTTTATTTAATGTAATTTTTGTGAACTGGACAGAATGTCGTGGATCCTGTCCTGGTCATTTTTAAGACTCTATCCTTGCCTTGAATTTTAGCTTTCAAGTAACATAATTCTGCCTGTATTCAGTGTTGAAATTATAACTGTCAAATATATTCATTAAATGCGCACCTAGGACAATAATAAATAATGTACTTGGAAACTGTGCACACTAAGTTGAGTGGGGTATTAGATGTAGGATATGCAGTAGAAGCCCTTCCTTACATTGTTGCCAACCTCACATTCACATAGTACACTCACAAACGATGCCCTGAAGATTGAGTCATGGCGGCATAACTATTGCATCAGACAGAGGGAAATTGGCAGTACCAAATGTTACGTCATTCTATTTTCGGGTCTACCAGTAATAGATATTTGGACTTAAGGTTCTAACGACGTTTCGGAGGAACATTGCTTCCATCTTCAGATTCGAGAAGTGAGACAAGAAAGAAACCAGCAGAAGCAGAGAGATTTCGACACATCGCCTCCATATTCAGGGCTGATGAGTAAGACAAGCAACAAGAGGCTGGAGAGCAGGTGACAGGTAAGCTGGCTTTCAACGGAATACACGGAGTTATACCACAGAAGACTTAAATCTTCATAACCACCGCGGTAAGAACTTCAAATCATTCATATGTTGGTAAAAAACGTAAAGCTGTCCCTGTAACAGACCGTTAAGGCCTGTAGGGTTATGAGACGTCGAGGCTCCCACATTTTCTAGACAATCGGCTCAGAGATGGCGGTGAGGTAGTCAGCCTTACGCGCCGGCCGCCCTTTACCCTCAGGAAGGGTCCTCGTACTCATTTCTTTCAGAGGCTGAGTCGATCCGAGGGCCATAGTATGGCTGCAAGGAGTAGGTCAATTGAAAAATCCAGTGACCGCATCGGGAATCGAACCTGTGACCTTCCGGGTTGTAGTATAGCGCCTCGACCAAATACGCTACCGGGCCGTGCAGTAGGTCAGGCGGTTAGTCGCCGGCTTCCCACCGCGACGGCCCGGGTTTCAGCCCAGGTCAGGTTATGTGGGATTTGTGGTCGACAAAGTGACACTGGGGCAGGTTTTCTCTGATTACTTCGGTTTTCCCTGGCTATACTCATTCCACGGACTGCTCCACATTCATCATCTATCACCCGGGGCTGGTACAATAGGCCAATTAGTGGCCGACGTACAAAGTGGACTCAGTCTCACCCCACCCCACCCCACAGCGTACCCCTACGTACGTTAGGGCTGTAGGACCGGCGCCTCGTGCGACGGGACCACGCCCTGATACCTCACATTCCGACCATATCGGCAGCAAAGTGTCCCCGAAGGAAGATTTTCTGGGGGGGGGGGAAGAAAAAATAATTAAATTTACATTGCGGTAAAAGGCGAAGTGCCTCTGGGCAGCCGGGCGAACAAAGGAAGAAGCTGCGCCGAGTATTGTATGTAAATCCCAGCACCACTAGAAGTAATGGGGTTCTTCAGTTTCTTGGGCGGGGGGGTGCGAGCAGGGGTGGCTGAAGAAACAATGGTGCACCTAATGCGGAACCAAGAGTTACCTTATCGGATATGTTCATCAGTACGATAATCCTTGCTTCTTCGTAACACGACAAACAAATTCCTTATCAGCCAGTTTGCCGGAGTGCCCGTCAGAGTGCGAAGTAGTCGCTATAAGGTGAAGAGAGTCATGTAATTATTTCCGCAGCACAGTATATACTCGTATATGTATTGTTTGTTTCAAGGTTTTCACAGCATTTAATACAGGAGGTGGGATAGTGCAGTTGGTATAGCAACTGGCTACGGGCTGAACGGCAGAGGATTTGGAGTTCGAGTCCCTGTACGGTCAAGAATTTTCTCCGCGTCGTCCAGACCTGTTCTGGGGCCCTCCCAGCCTTCTATCCAATGGGTATCGGGAACACTTTACCCGGGGGTAAAGCTTAAGGGGCACGAAGCTGACCACTCATCTCCAAACTAATGCCGATGTGAAGAAAATGTGGATCTCTACATCCAGTCCCCAATACGCTTTCATGCCGTAGTGCTTAATTAGTTAAGCACAGAGCAACTTTACCTTACTGACTTTTCTGCGACTGGCTATGGGTTGGACAGCCGAGTGGTCTAAGTTCGAGTCCCACCAAGGCAAGATTTTTCTCCTCTCCACGTCGTTCAGACCGGTTTTTTTATCTTCGGTGTAAATGAAACTTGTTCAACTCCTCTAATGAGGGAAGTAACTTGCGTATCCATAAATAGATTTATTTGCAGTTTATTTAACCGCCGATCACAGTGGCCTCGCGCTCTAAGGCATTAAAGGTCTTCGCTCGCTCGAACACTGGGATCGTATGTTTGAATCCCCCTCAAGACATATTTGTCTCTTTGCGTTTATTCTGTGTTTGTGTTAAGTAGCGGCCTTGAGACGGGCTGATCCCCTGTCCGAGGAGTCCTACCGACTGTCTTAGATTAAGAAACTGAAGTGAAAAAAAGCATTTCACGGATGCCCTCTTTACAAAGCGGGAGCAACAGGAATAGAAGAAGAAGAAGAAAAATAAGTTTATTTAACGAATTAAGGCACTATGATACAAGTCGGAAGGTCGCGGGTTCAAATACCGATGAGGTCATTCGATTTTTTTTTTTCAGTTGACCTAATCCCGCCGGCCGCACTCTGGCCCTCAGCCTCTAACAGAAATGAGTACCAGGAATTAATTAAATAATTTTCCTGAGGAGTAAAGCGCGGCCGGCGCGTAAGGCTGACAACTTTACCGCCATCTTTGAGCCGATTGTCTAGATAATGTGGGACCCTCAACGTCTCACAACCCTATGGGCCTTCATGGCCTGTTACAGGGATAGCTTTACTTTTTTACTTTTTACCATTAACTCAGTTTGTGTTGAATGGTTGGATGACAGCGAGTACTGGATCTGAATTTCTGTGGAAGGAATTCATGGTAGCCTAATTTATGGTACTTGTACGGAGACGCTGAGAAAAACCACGAAAAACATCCAGTACAGTCAGTGTCATGGCCGAGATTCGAAACGATTACCTCTCGAAGCAAAAGCATTACGTTTTGAACCAGTTTACTCTGTTTTTATTCTAGAAATTACGCGTTATTCTACTGGGCCACTCGGCAGTCGCCCTACCAGGCGTTCGTTGCTCTTACTGATAACAGGAAAACTTGAAATTACAAAACTGTACTTATGTCCATCTAGCGCTGAGCTTCATGACGAACTATGCATCTTCATGACATTGTATTTAATAAGTACAGGGACAAAATTACGATTTATTTGTAAAATTCCATCTGTGTCGTCATTCATGAAAACCATATTGAAATTACAATATTTAATTTTTGTGTGCGGGATGTACCTGGCTCGAGTCTCGACCGCGTTATCAGCTACTCCTCTGAGGTATTTTGTGGTTATCTTTAGTTTCCTCGCATGCATTCTGGGCTAATACCTTAAAATGGTCCACAGCGTCCTTCTTCAAAATCCTTGCTGCCAAATGTTCATTATAAATTTTCTGCCTAATTCGGCCTCTGCAGCCGAAACAATGTCTTTAAGTAATCTAAGAATGAAGAGAAATTAATTTTGATTCTCGCGCGCCGCATGGTGCTTGCGAACCTGAGTTTGCGTAGTCCTGTTTCAAGCCCTAAAGTTTCATTTCAGAGACGCACAAAGTTGTGTTCTTGTTTTGAATGCATAAACTACCTCCCATTACACAGTGGGAAGAAGTAAAATTACCTTGATCATAGCCGAGGACCGCCTATCCTGACAGAAATTTCGTGATTTTTTGTCCTATCGCTCTAAATGCGAGAAAGAATTTAGAAGGAAGTTACTGCCGCTTTTTCCTCATTCTTTCCAGATCACCGTTTAATTTACTTGTCCCTATCCACGTTAAATAACCTCTGAAGCTGATATAAAATTGCTACTTAATTTGCGAGTGATCTAGCAATCTGCATGAATTGAGTTAGAATGGCTGTCTTTTATTCTCATATCACTATTCACGAAACTGCAATTTCTCATACCTCTCCATAGTATGAAACGTGTTCGATGAAATGTCTCTGATGAATATTTTGGTCTCTAAACGTAAATAGAAAACCGCTGAGTATATAGTAAAAGCGAAAGACAGCAACTAGTTCAGTATGCAGGAGTATTTGATATCTCTGAGCCATATTCGAGGTACAGGCATGTGTGAAACACGGCAGTTTCTGTGCCCTTTGTTGGCTGCAATGTGTAGGACACCTTAACAGCTGTTTATGGAGAATCTAATATGGCGACATTGGGTAGGGTTTGTAGTAAAATTTTGCAATTTAAAGTAAAATCTCTCAAGGCTAGACAATGTTTTGTGACATTTAGAGATCCAAAAACTGTGCGTGTAATATCTACGGCATGCGTGTGTGTGGCAGGAGGAGGATTACTGCTCTACATTGGGCACAGACTTGGTAAACTTCATACTGTGCACGCCTTGAAACCGAGAAAGGTAAAACAACAAAAACTATTTACTAACAGTTTTAATTGAACTGACGTTAAGTGAATACCTTATATTTTTGAGGTAGGAGTTCCGCTTAATTTTTAGTGCCTTGTGTGCAGGGAGAATGCAGTCGTTTGTAATGTATTAGACATGTTATTGTAGGAGTTCTGATTTTCAGTTATTTTGCACCCATGTTTTAATTTCTGAGTATCTGCTACTGTTAACTGCATAGAGAATTCATGGTCTCTTTGACCCAGGTCTGACATGAAACAGTATCAACTCCATGGAATGTCACGTAACAGTAGAGTTCAGTATAAAGCCACCTTCTTGAGTTGTAGATGAATGATATTAAAATTAGATTATATTTTCAAGAAAATTGATCGGAGAATTAACTCTTGGAATTAATGTTAAAGTTCAGTTTGAAATATTTTTGTGTATTTTGGATTTTTTTACACACACACACACACACACACGCACACGCGCACACATATATATACATACATATATGTGAGCTTGGGAATGTTTTTTATGTTAATAATCCATTGAATGTTTCTGTAAAATGAGAGATTCTAATTCAGTAGGCCAAGACAACATGTTTATAAAGATTTATAAGAAAGTGATTGGCATTTACTTCTTATTCAACATTCAAACAGTAATTCTGTGAAACTGTCCTGATTAATCTGATTCAAGATTACTCATAGTCAGAATGTGAGATATGCAAATTCTACCCAATATTTCTGTACGAATTTGGGTTTTCATAAAAAGAAACGGAATATCCAACACTTCTAGTAGTTGCCAACCCTTGCAGTATGGATAGCAGAAACATTCCTTTCAGAAATTCCCTATACAGTGCAGAAAGATCTTTGTTTTGCAGTTTTATTTATTTTAAAGGGACTACACCCAGTCAAGAAATTGATGTGGAAGTAAATAAAGATAAAGTGAAATATTCATTTGTATTCTTTATTTTTTACATTAATTTAAATTTTTTATACAATGCAGTGTATTTAAGCACAGACTCATAGCATGTCTAGATGTAATCAGTTATTTGAGAATATTTTAAAACAGCGTTAACTTTATTATTGTAAAGTTACCATCACACCTCATTTCTAAAACACAGTAGACCAGGACGTGCTGTATAAAATAATTTTATCCGTTGTTTATAGGTCCAAAATATGATCTCTTACTTTGAGGCAAGAACGTAAATTTCATGTGTTTGAAAACAACATGTAGAGGGATGAAGTAAACTAAAGGCAAAGTTGTCCCTGCACTTAATTAATTAACCACCGCACTGTGAAGGCGTATGGGGGACTGGAGATATACGTTCACGTATTCTTAACCTCAGTACTAGATGGAGTTGAGTGGCTAACTTCACACCGGCACGATTTACCCCAGGGGGAGTAGCCCCCGATACACCTTAGGTAGATTCTGGATCCCATGGACAGTCAGTGCGCTGTACACAGAAGAAAACTATCTTGCTCCTACCGAGGGCGGACGGTAGCGCAGTTGGCTGAGGCACTATGCTACAAACCTGAAGGTCGCGGTTTCGATTCCCGATGAGGTCATTGGATTTTTCAATTGACCTAATCCTTCCAGCTGCATGGTGCACCTGGGGTTGACTCAGCCTCTAACAGAAATGAGTACCAGGTATCTTCCTGGGGGTAAAGGGCGGCCGGCGCGTAAGGCTGGCAACCTCACCGCCATCTATGAGCCAATTGTCTAGAAAGTGAGAGCCTCGACATCTGACAACCCTATGGGCCTTCACGGCCTGTTACATGGATAGCTTTACCTTTTCATTTGTCTTGCTTCTGCTGAGAATCGAACCCCGATTCCTGACAGCCCAGTCCATAACTCTTCTCTTTACCGACTGATTGCAGATAAATGATAAATTTATGATATTACATAATGAGGAACTTGCTTACGGCAGAGAAACGTATGTGGTTGTGATGAGCTCGGCATGTAGCAAGAATGGGGAGACAAGGGATGGATATTGCATTTCGGTGGTGAAAGCTTTTGGATACCGAGAGTGAGATGGTAGGATAACATTAAGGTGGAATTTAGGGAGATAATTGTGAGGGAGTTGGATGGAACTGGCTCACGGTTGTGTCCAGTTGTAGACTTTGGTGTTATTGGTGTTAGCTCGCATAGTAACCCCCTTATTTGCTGACATATGTTTTCTTATTTGTTTATCTGTGGAAGTTCCCGTAAGTAACTTTCGGGGCCCAAAATGCTTCGCGGATGAGAAAGATGGGGAATTACTGGTCTCATAACATTAATGTGTAGTTCTGTATTGAGCAGTGGGCACGGGCATGTCTGTTACATTTCATTTCCATGGGAAATGGGAACTTTCGACATGTAGACTGACTGGAACCTGTCGAGCCCCTTATCCAATAGGAGTCGGAAGCCCTTTCCCCGGGGATAAAGCGACCGGAACGCGAAATAGACCATTCATCTCCATCTACAGCCAAAGACTAAAATGACTGTAGCATATCTACTCGTACATGCACCTTATAGTGTTTCATTGCATGGTGCTTAGGGGTAGGAGCACCCTGCTTGCCGAGGCTTCCCAAGAAGTGCATGCTTGCTGTAGAAATACTGGATTAATTTGATTCTAAACCTTTTGTGACTATTGTGTGCGTTTTGTCCTGCTTTCGTTGGTCTACTTTAATAATTAAAAAAAATTAAAGTAGGTTCATGAGATCAACTTGCTGTCTGTCTGTCTATCTGTATTTATATCCCCCTATCGTTCCGAGCAACGGGCTGGTAAACACGTTCCCATGGCAACGAATACACGCAACAGTAGAAGAGTTGTTGGACGCGTCATTTTCAACGCGGTCCGTATCGTATCGAAGGAAAGTAGTTGATTATATCTTTCCAGAACTGCTTTCTCTACAATTTATACGGCTTATATGTAGTGTATTGTGAACCAGCGATGAGATAAAGGTCCTGTGGAAACAAAGTTGTGGTACATCTGTAAGACTTCACAAAGTGACGGGTATGTCGGCACATGTTTGTGTTCTCTGAAGCCAAGTTTCACCCAGGCGCTGCAAAGGACACATTTGTGGGCAGGTTGGGTCAGGATTTATGTACGTACGTTCCCTTATCACCCGCATCCTCTGTCCTACTTCACGCAGGTGCGGAGGACCTTGACGAGTACCATCCTCCGGTTTCCTCTTCACGAGAACACAGGTTGTAGCATTCTGCACGCTCAGGAGGGATGAAGAAGTTTGTGGTGACCAGGGCCCGGATTTTGATGACCTGAAAATATTTAAAAAATGACCGAAAAATCCAGAAAAATGACCTAAAGGAGAAAAGAAAGAACACTTCGCTTCCATGTTATTCACATTTCCGAAAACATATGAAGGAAAATTCCCTAAAATGGCCAGAAATGACAAGAAATACCCTTAAAAGTCCAAAAATTTACCAAAAAAATTACCCCCAAAATGAAAAAATGACATTAAACATAAAAATGTAAACAAATGACAAAAAATTACCTATAAAATTTACATTTTTGTAACCAGCAGCTCATAGCCGAGATTTATATATTTAAGAGTATCGCATAGGATACAAGGAAAAAAAAAAGATGACATGTCATCAAAATCTGGGCCCTGGTGATGACCAAGTGTTCAGCACCACTCGCCTCGTAAAACGTGCTGCTTTAGTTTGGGTAACATTTTCTTCTCGGGATTCGAACCACGAGTTGTTTACTCTCAGTACACACTATCACGTAGCTGACGTTCGAAGTTAAGACCAATTAGCATTGGTTATTACAAGTTTATGGGAGCCGGGATAGAGCAGTCGGTATAGCGGAGTTCGACTCACGGTGGGAGCAAGAACTTTCTCTCCTTCAAGTCGTCCTGATAGGCTCTGGGGTCCACTCAACTTCCTATCCAATATGTACCAGGGGCTCTTTCCCCAGGGGTAAAGCGGCCGGGGCGTGAAACTGACCACTCATCTGCAGCTAGTACCTAAGTCGAGAATATGTGGATCTATACATCCACTCCTCCATACGCCTTTATGGCGTAGTGCTTAATTCGTTAAGCACAGGGACAACTTATTACACGTTTATGACACCGTATCAACTTAAAGGTGAAGTGTTTCCTGTGTTTAATTAAATAAGTACCACGACTTGAAGACGTATGGGGAAATGCAGTTATAGCTCTGCCATTCTTTATCTCTGCATTGGTTGGAGGTGAGTCGTCAGCTTCACGCCCCGGCCACTTTACCTCTTGGGAAAGGCCCCTGGTACCCTTTGGAGAGGAGACTGGGTGGGTTCCAGAGCCCGAGCAGAGAATATCTCCTGCCCCTATCGGTAATCGAACGTCGGCGGTCGCTGTACCGACTGAGCTGTCACGGCCCCTAGCTACTGATTTTTCTTATCCATGGTCATATTAATTAAGTATCTAAGTCCATGTAGCAGAAGCTATTAGTTACCCAGCTATGCAAGAAATCCCAGGCCACTTGTGGAAAATGAATGCTCATTACTGTGTTCGTGAGCCAGATGAGTGCAGTCCACATCCCATTTGCCTGTTTCTTTCAGATCCGTTTTAATATTACCCCCATTTGTTCCGTTCATGTTGTGCTACTGAAATTTGTGTACACTTCATACCTCTTCCATACGTTGTGTAAAGATGATATATGACATACAGGGAGAAATGTATGAAAGGAAACGGCATTGTCTTAAGTTCAGGATACCATCCTGTTGAGGGGCTCAGAAGAAGCGCTGGTATCTCAGGATAGCATGTCCCTACCCGGAATTCGAATCTGTTACCTCCAGAATGAGAGTCAGTCGCGTCACCGCTGTGCCACCTACTGGGTAGAAGCAGACACCTTCAGTGCCAAGTGGAAGATCGGCGTTGACTTCGGAAGTTTTCCTCATAACCACTTAGGAAGGGGTGGGTTGGAGTCTGTGATGTATGAAAGTATAGGATTGTAGATAAGATAAGACGGTACAAGACGGGGAAGCTGACACCAGCAACCCTAACGCAGGTGATGTATGGACCATGTCGCAG